TTATAAGATAATTGGCATATTTAGTTCAGGATGGACTAGAATGGGAGTTGTCATAAACACTTTTCTACAGTTAAGTTTCACATACTTGGAGAGCACCATTAATACTATGACACAGTATTGTAGAAAGTCTTTTAAAATATAGTTTAAATTCTTGGAAGATGGCTGGGGCATTACAGAGACCAAAAAGCATCACTTTGTTGTGCCCACTTCAAAAGTCATCTTCCATTCATACCCCTCCTTAATCCTCACCAGGTTATACACTCCTCCGATATCCAATTTGGTAATGATTTTAGACTCTTAAATCATGTCAAACAATTCAGTTATCATGGGAATCGGATAAGCATTTTTTATGGTAATTTTATTTAATCTTCTTTAATTTATACAAGGGTGTCATTTTCCTTTATTTTTTAACAAATGAATACCCCACTACAGCTAGAGATTTTGTTATGCATATAAAGTTATAGCCACGCGTCTGACACATAATCAGCGACAGCTTTGTTTTCTGCTACTGAAAGGGAGTAGGTTCTTCCCAAAAGACGACTAGTGCCAGGTAACAAGTCAATTGCACTGTCATATAAATGGTGGGGAGGTAATTTATCTGCATTCTTTTTATAGAAGAGTCTAGACAAATTAGCGTATGGCAAAATAAAAAGTAAACATGTGAGCGTATACAGATGTACACTAACAATGTACTGAGCCACATGACCTTCATTGATCCAATTATAAAATCAAACTTTAAATACAAGTTAAAATGAATTGTAAAAGTAAATCTTCACTCTACTACTTCACCTTCTGAAACACTTATCACTGTATACAAACGGTTTCTTTAGTCAGTGGAGTCATGCTCTGCATTTATAGCTACCATCACATGGTATGGATGTGTACAACATAAAATGTTATCTATAAGGAGCATTGGCGTCTGCAAGAATTTGGGGGGGGGCATAATTGTAATGACATCCATGTTTGGTCCCTTTTTGACAGCGTCATGAAAGGAAAGGGGCATAGTCATTATCACATAAAGCCAGGGTGAATAGAGTAAACATGTTTGTATTCCTGACACTAAGCAAATTAAAGGAACATTCTGGTCACCATAACAACTTCATCTAAATGAAAATGCTATGATGCCTGGAAACCCCTGGGTGCTCTCGTTCCTTTAAGGGGATCCTTTAAGACACTCTCAAATGGTTTAACCCCAAAGGCTTCCTCCAGCTCCAGATCACCTGGTCGCTCAGTGGTATTCGGCTTCTGAAACAGAGTGTCAGGAAGTGCAGATTGACGTCAGGCATGGGTGCTGCATATTGGCTAGAGTGGTCAGTTGACGCTCTAAACCAATCGCTATTTCCCGGTTCATAAATCTTTTTACTTTTTTATGAATGGGGAGCTACTGATTGGCTGAGAGTGCCAGTTGACCGCTCTAGCCAATCAGCGACAACCCTACCAAGCGGCACTCTGTGCTTCCTGACACTCAGTAAATAAAAGTGAACACATTAACACTGATTTTTATTTTATACCTGGGCAGGTGAGAAGGTCCAAAGTTTCCCTGCCAGGTCCAGGTACCAAAGCCTTATGATGTGGTGTCCAGAATAAAGTGGAGGGTTCGCTTCACTTGTCCTTCCTGCTCCTTCATTTGACAAAGTATTATTTTTCTTCTGACACTGTCTTCTCTTCTCTTTGGCTCCTTGCTGCCATTTGCAGCTCCTTGCTGACCCTTTCTGCTCTTTGCTGTCCCTTCCTGCTCCTTGTTGCCGCGTTCTGCACCTTCTCCTCCTTTACCGTTGTGCTCCTTCTTCTACTTTACCTTTGTGCTCCTTCTTATTTTTTCTGCTCCTTCACCTTTGTGTTCTGTCTTTTCCTGTTTCTGCTGCCCCTTTCTGCTCCTTGCTGACCCTTCCTGCTCATTTCTATTCCTTCCTGCTCCTTCTCCCACTTTACCTTTGTGCTCCTTCTGATTCTTTCTGCTCCTTTACCTTTCTGCTCCTTCTGTCTTTGCAGACCCTTCCTTCTCCTTGCTGCCCCTTCTCCTACTTTAGCTTTGTGCTCCTTTCCTGATATATATGCTATTTCCCCCCCCATCCCTCACCTGATCTGGAGGTGGATCCCCCATCTCTCACTTACCTGATCTTTAGCCTGCCTCTCCCCCCATCCCTCACTTACCTGATCTATAGGCTGCCACTCCATCTCTCTCTTACCTGATCTAAAGTCTGTCTCTCCCTCCATCCCTCACTTACCTGATCTATAGGCTGTCTTTCCCCCCTTCCCCCCCACCCCAATTTTTGGTAGCTTGTTATGCATTTGCTAACAAGCTTTTATCATGGTGCCATAAGTTTTGGGTTTTATTTTTACATTCAGATAACATTTTTATTTCCAGATAATACTTTGTATTTTTATGAGATATGTGCACTTTGATTTTCACAGTCACCACAGTATATATTTACGATACATATTTTAAAGCAGTTATAGCACAGCATCGGAGATTGATTGTCATATTCCACAAATAAGTGTTTCCTACTTGTATACCAATTATCTAGTTTAGCATAGATTTTTTTACGCTTCACATCCATTTGTAGTTCTATTGCACATTACACTCTTTTCATACATAGTAGTCTCCGCATACAGAGCACCCATGATTAAGGTATAGTGTCAGCATATATATTGCTTTCCATGGTTACCAGAAGCATAATTCACATGTGTAGAGGCAGAGCTTTGTCCGCTTGATGAGGTCGGCTGTTAAGGTGCTGGTCCATTCCACTGTCCTTTCTCGCCTTGACTACTGTAATCCGCTATTCATCCACTATTCAGTCCATAATGAATGCGGCTGCAAGGCTCATCTTCCTGTCCGCCCACACCGCCCACGCCTCACCCTTCTGTTAGTCCCTACATTGGCTTCCTGTAAGATATAGGGCTCAATTTAAAATTCTGGTTCGAGATTTCAAATCTCTACATAATGCTGCTCCCACCTATCTATCCTCCCTAATACACAAGTATTAGTCCCGTCTAGGCCCTTGCGCTCAGCTGAAGACTTACATCTATCTTCTGTCCGTACTCCCACCTCTGATGCTCTGCTTCAAGACTTCTCGAGGGCTGCACCGTTCCTGTGGATGCTCACCCAGTCTCCACTCCTTCAAAAAAATCATTAAAAACCAACTACTTCTTAAAAGCGTATGAATTAAACGATTAATAGCTCCCAACTGATTCCTCTCTTGCAACTCTCATTAGTCTAATACTATCCTTATGTTTTGTGTCACTTTGCCCCACTCCCTCTAGCATGTAAGCTCATTGAGTAGGGCCCTCAACCCCTCTGTTCCTGTGTGTCCAACTTGTCTGGTTACAACTACATGTTTGTTCGTCCACCTACTGTAAAGCGCTGCAGAATTTGTTGGTGCTATATAAATATTAACATAACAATAATAATCATCATCATATCTTTACACCCAACACGTTATGATAACAGTATTTTATCCTATTAAAATGTATTCACTTTTGGATATGAGTCACCATGGCAGCAAAGAAGCTACAACATAGCACAGGCGCGCTGAAAATGGGTAAATGCTGTGAATATGGTATGGTAAGTGGGTCTTCATTTTGCCTATAAATAGTCTCTTTTAGATTTGTTTTTATGTCCTGAAGAAAGTTCTGAACTGTTGACCACAATGGATTGAAACAATAAAGAAGAATTTCTTGCTTACAAAGTCCTAGAGTGCTGGCTCTTTTACAGAATCTTTAATGTTTCTGAGCACCAGAGAGAACCAGGTAAGATATATAGGTATGTGGTCAGAAACATAATCGTAATATGTGTGATTCCTGTTAATGCAAAGTTGGTTGGGGTGTGCTATAAACTAATGTACAGGGTAGACCTGTAATAAAAAGAGGGCCCACCAAGAGTAATGGTTTTTATAAACAAAGTATAAGGTGTGCATGTGGTGGGTGGTATGACCTTAGCGATCTTGGCCCAGGTAAGAGGGTGATTGGGGTTTATGTAGGTTAAAGATAGATTCAAACTCCTCCTCCCTATGGCCTTAAAACTTGTGGTAGAAAACATAATAGTAATATGCGTGATTCGTGTTAATGCAAAGTTGTTTGGGGTGTGCCGTAAACCAAGTACAGGTATGCCTGTAATAAAAAGAGGGCAAAAAGGTATCAAAGGAGAAACATACTTTATTGCAGCAAAATTACAGAGGCAAACTTTTAAAAGCTTTCCTCATTTCTTTCTCTGGATGAGGTATATATCGATTGTAGACTGAGGATTTCCATCTCCCCAATCTCTTTATAATATGCACTGGGGTGTCAGTGCTGGAAGCAGCAGAAACTGCCCCTATTCTAAATGAATGAGCTGAAATTGATGCCGGATTGAAACCCAATCTCAGGAGTAGGGTTCTAATGTAGAAGATGAATTTAGCAGTAGTAAGTGGAATTCCTTGAAGTGAGAGTAGTGGTAAATTATGTGTGACTTGATTGAGTGGGGATAGGAAGGAATCAAGTATTTTTACCAGGCACCACTTGTTCTCGGTGGGATAGTGGATGGATGATTAATTTGGTTAGTTTTAGTAGAGAAGTAGAGAGTTTGTAGAGAAAGTATATAGTGGGCGTGATGTTTATTGATATCTGATATTTTAAGGCATTAAATGATGTCTGTCTGTTTTGCTACTGTAAACTCTCAGGGTCCCAGAAAACCGTAGAATGCTATATGAATGGTGGTTTTAATTGCTTGATTGGTAGGATTGTCAAATGGATGTGTGTCCAGTAAATCAGAGAAGGCTCAGAATATAGGACCATCTATCGGTAATCTGGACGAAGTAAGGGGTCTGTTTTATTAAAACCCCTTAGTATACTTTTAATGGGATAGGACATGAGGAAAGGTGTGTGATTGGAATAAGGATAAGTACGTGATGTTTAATCCCCGGGAAATAAAGTTTGATCTTGTTGTGTGCTAATTTAAAGGACCACTATAGTGCCAGGAAAACATACTCGTTTTCCTGGCACTATAGTGCCCTGAGGGTGCCCCCACCCTCTGGGTCCCCCTCCCGCCAGGCTCTAGGGGGTAGAAGGGGTTAAACTTACCTCTTTCTCCACCCCGGGGTGAGGAACTCTCCTCCTCCTCTCCTCCTCCATAGCAGGAGCCGCGCTCATTCAGCCAGTCCATAGGAAAGCATTCACAATGCTTTCCTATGGACGCTGGCGTCTTCTCACTGTGAAAATCACAGTGAGAAGCGCGGAAGCGCCTCTAGCGGCTGTCAATGAAACAGCCACTAGAGGCTGGATTAACCAATTTATAAACATAGCAGTTTCTCTGAAACTGCTATGTTTATAGAAGAAAAGGTTAATCCTAGTTGGACCTGGCACCCAGACCACTTCGTTAAGCTGAAGTGGTCTGGGTGCCTATAGTGGTCCTTTAAGGTAAAGGTGGCAAAAAGAAGAAAAGGCTACCATGGATTCTATGAAGAAATGCTCCTGGACAGGGAATTCAATGGCAAACCTTTGATAAACTCTTAAAGGCATATCATTAGCAGTCATTGTGATGTCAGAAAGTGTAGAACGAGTGACCGAGCGTGAGACAGAAGACTGGCTAGTCCATCACAAGCTATTGGAATAGTGGAGTTCTGGACCAGAGCCTGGACTGCTGTGGGGTGAAGCCAGTAGAACACCTAAAATTGAGACAAATTGTGACAGCACTTTGACAATTTGTTATCAATACCTGGGATATTTTCCTAAAACAAGTCAAATTGGAACAAGGCGGCAAGCCAAGTCAGACTTCGGACCAGCCTCATAATTGTCAAGGACGATTAGTGCCCCTTGTTGATAATTTTGCATGCTGCCACGTTATCACATAGATTTCTAATGGCATTTACTGTCCAAAGATGACCCCAAGTGTGAGCAGCTGCCACTATGGTGTAAATTTATGGAGAGCAAAAAACAAGGTGCAAGAGTGTACTGAGAACAGACAGCAGCTGAAATGGCCTGCCTTTCGGTGGGTCCCCGCTCAGATCTCAAGCTGGTTTTAGCTCATCTTGTGCCATTACAGAGAAAACATATGTGAAGCATATCAGATTGCTCTCACCCATACGGGCAGTCCAGATCCGAAATGCCAGCAAGTTCCCTCTGCACGAGAGACACACCAACCCCAGACGATCGTTTCAACCTTGTTAGGCATCATCAGTGAGGCATAGCTGATATCTCTCTATGCACTGAGAACTGAGCGGGGACCCACCGAAGGGCAGGCTAATTGAACTGTTGTTCGTTCTCAGCACTCTCTTGCGACTTGTATTTTGCTCTCCTATGGGGTAAATTTCGAACAGAACAGGGGTCTCATTGAAGGCCTCGATTACCAAATGCTGCAGTAAACTCTGTATGGGCTGCTGCGTTAGTCATGATAATGGGTGATAAGTGATAGAGAGGTAGAACAAACATGTAAATACCATTCCAAGATATGAGAAAATGGTGCCATATGCGTAAATCAGCTTTGGCCGGGGGGGTCGAGAAGAATGGTTGCACCATCAGACAAGCCGGAAATTAGAAGAAGCAGCCTACAAATGAACACTCTACCCTGCGGGATGATTCATTTAGCAAAAATAAGTAACCCCAGTAAAGACTGAAGATCTCTACGAGTACACAAACTAACCCACAGGAATCGGTCCATCTCCTCATGAGCGTACCAGCTTCTCATCAGGGAGGTTTGCCTGAAATGCCACTGTGTCCAAGATAATACTCAGAAACACCAATCTGATAGTGGGGCCTAGAGTCATATCAGGTGAAATAGAGATACCATAACTGGAAAAAGAGCTGTGGTGTTGAAAATACATTGTTGTGTCGGTGTACCGGTTTCCACCCATAGAAAATCATTGCGGTAGTGAATCACCGTGGGACACTGAACGACATTAAGGAGCAGCCAACAGAGCATTTCTGCTAAAATATCTAACAATTTTTATTTGAAGATTTGTTTGAAACACCACTGATGGGGTTCATGCACCATGACTAAAATGTGGATGGGTGAAGGGGCCTTGAATAAGACCTAAGCTAGATGGACTTTCTTGTCTTAATTATATAAAAAGTGAAATTAATTCCCCAATGTTTTAGATTCAAATAATCTATACATTTATGTGATGACTCCTCCGTTCTATTCCAAACAGAACGTAATTGATGTAACAGTGATGTCTTTGGTCAATACATAGACGGTCCCAATATAATATTAAGTGGCACAGCTGGGTGCAAACCTGGTCCCCTTTGCCGTGTCCTTGATTTACAAAAAAAAATTAATAATTTAAACCAAAAATATTATTTTTCTAAAATCAGCATAATGCCCTCTAAAATAAAATTAATTTGCTCCAAATCCATATTCAACTTTTTTTGTAGAAAATTGGAGACAGCCTTGCATTTTCTTGAATGTTCAATTATCATATATAATGAGTATACATCGCAAGTTATTAACAGATAGACATTTTTCCATTCCATACTGTGTAACATTGGCAGACTTGCAGAATGTTTATTGTGTATTTCAAGTAATATTACTTGTTGGGAAAAAAGTTATATACAAATGTCAAAATATTCAGATAGACAATTAGAAATATAGTTCTTACCTGATGTTATATAGGTCTACCTGGAGGATTGATAGGCTTCTTATGTACCATTAGGAGAGCGACAAAATACAAGTACCATGGTATGTAACACGTTAAAATAATTGCTTTCTTTTTTTTGTTAGATTCCTTAATTGCCTTTCTCAAAGAATCTTAGAAATTTTAATGTAATCTCTAATGAAGGGTCTTTACCTAGTTTGTATGTCTCCTCATCTCCTAATACTTTCTGAGATTCTTTTAAGTATGCTTCTTTTAAAATTACCACCAATCATCCATCCTTATCTGCTGGTTTCACAATTATTCCCTGATTTTGCTGCAATCCTCTTAAAGCCTTCTGTTCCACTAAAGGTAAATTATGTTGATATTTATTCGATACCCTTATTTTTTCATTTGATACTAGAGGTCTAGGGAAGAAGGCTGATTTGTCTTTTGAAATGGTTGTGAATGACGTTATCTGATTTGAGTAAAATCTTGACGTTTCACGTGGTTATTTCATATATTTCTTCAGACATAAATAATGTAATCTATTTAAATCTAAAACATAATAAATGACAGATGGTGGAGCATATTTCAGTTCTTTTTTAAGCATATTTGGAGAGAATATTAGGGTGTTGAGTCTTTGACAGATGGAGCCTGGAAAGCTGTAGTGAGCCAAACGCGAGGTACCAGTTAGGGATAAGACAATCTCGTAGTCAGGGTAAGCCAAGGTCAGGGAAAGGCAGCGCAGGTTCAGAAACAGTATAAAAGGCAGACAGGTCAAGGGCTAGATGGAGACAGGATTCACAGAAATATATATACCAAAGAGCACAGTATAACTGAGCAGTGAGGTAAATGTTGATTCAGTTTATATAGGGGAGAGGCTTCCACCTCTCACATACTATTGGTTAAACAGTGATTAGCCCTTTAAGCTGTTTCAAGTGTTCTGTCCCTTTAGGAGGCCGGCTATCGGGCATGCATGAGCCTAGGAGTATGTGGAGTTTACACATGGGTTTGGCTGAAGCTTCCCGCGGGTCACAGCGTTGTGTGAGGAGCCACAGCACCGCATCCACGTGTCACAGGGATGCCGGCCATCTGTACTTGTGGTTGAACACGTCGGAGTCCTCAGTGTGCAGTGAGGGGAAATTGCCGCAGCAGTGGACGGAGATGCAGCGGAGGACCTCCAGTGTTTTAAAACAGTAAAACATATTACAACAATATACAAAAACTGGGGGGCTATAAGGGAAACAGAGTATAATTGTGGTGCTACTATCACCTAGTGTGAATCACTCCAACACACCAAAACTCAATATAGTGCAGAAAATAAAATTTTGGTGAGAGCACTCAATACATGCAAATACAATATTTTACCAGAACTTGTTTGATGAAATATCTAAAAGCATAAGACATAAAAACATAGAGTAGTATTGTTTAAAATATGTGAAAATGTTTTCATGTGACTGGTTAAACTCACATATTTCTGAGTCACTTAAAAAGCTGACTCAGACTTAAGGCTTGTATGGAGATGAGAATTATTCAATTCTGGACGTCCTGTATCAATCCCAATGAATCCGCACTGGAAGCATTTCTTTAGAATCACTCCAAAAGGCAGGATCCAATACAAACTGGTTTTATTGTTAAAAAAATAACTACATATAATAGATACAAATAAAAATGTCCTTATAATTTACCACAACGCGTTTCGGCAGTATCAGCCTTTCTCAAGTGGTCTGGTTTCATCATCTCCATCTTCTTCCTTATATTTCAAACCTTAGCGCCCTTTTTCGGCGTTCCCCTCTAACTTCCGCCTTCGTCATCAATCTGCGTCTGCGGCCTTCATTGCGTCTAGACGTTTTCATTTACGTCATCAACTTCATGACGTTTTCCGGTTGCCGAAACCGGAAGTATTATCGACGCCATTTTGGAAAGTCCTTTTAAATCCTAATGCCAGTCTCTTACACATTTACACATATATACTTCTACATATTAACAAGCAACTTGATATTTTCCGGTTGCCGAAACCGGAAGTGTTATCTGCGCCATTTTGAAAAGTCCGTTTTAAACCATAATGCCAGTCTCTTGCACATTTATACATATATACTCTACATATTAACAAAAAAATAAAACATATCATCAATAGAAAACGTTCAGAATTAACCCTATCAAAACAAATCCAAAAGGAGGCACTTCCAACCTACTAAAAAGAGGGGAAATAAAACACATATATTTAAAATCTTTAAATAAACTTTGGAAATAATCTTAAAAACAAATATATAAATTCATAAACAATATATAATTTAGAAAACATATAAATTATAATAAAAAACATATAAAAATCCAATAAAAAATCCTAACAGATCAAAAGTACTAATAAATTGCATAAAAACTATATGCATGAATTAATCTCAAAATCAATATTCAAACCATTTGGGGATAGTGATTCCATATTAAAAATCCACTTCATCTCACTTTTACTGAGGAGGCTCTCTATATCACCCCCTCTCCAATGAGTCTTCACAGCCTCTATTCCTAAAAATTCAAATCCATTAATATTTCCTCCATGAACTTCCAAAAAATGTTTAGAAACATTATGTAGAGTAAATTTTCTATTAATATTATAGATATGTTCCCTAATCCTTATCTTTAATAATCTAGATGTTTTCCCAATATACTGT